GCTAATTATACCAATAGAAATACAGATAGATGTTACCAATTAGATATTTCGTTATTGGTAAAAAAAAAAAAAAACTATTTTACACAAAATTACACCTTGAAGAGTCATTAGAATATTTATTGCGTAGCCCGCCACATACAAACAGTTGCTAATTTGGATGCCAATTAAAATCTGTTAAGTGGCACACTTTAAACTGACGCATCACTAATCAATTTAGATTTCAGAACTCTGCTCAGAACTTATGTAAGCTTATTTAAAACGTAATTGTACGCGGCCAGTTGCTGTACGAAAACGTCATGAAAGGAATCATACATAGAAAGTGCACGTTATTTCATGTAAGTAGGATTAGCGTATCTAATAATTTAATTATAAACAGCTGGGCAATTTCTAATTTATAATTACGCAAAAAGTACACATACAACTGCAGTTATATTCGTATATTTGATATATAGGTTTATCACACGCAAAAACACAATTTACTCATAATAAATTTACCTATTACATATACGGTCATGTTACCGAAGGAGGGCTGTATAAAATGATGTCTTAATCCTAATTAAGACATCATTTTATACAGCCTTCCTATATAAAAAATAAACGAGACAGAAGTCCTAACTTCTGTCTCGTTTATTTTTTATTTTAATAACTATCGATTCAAATTACTTGTAATTACATCGAAAAAGCTCGACTAGTTTCAGAATCAATTCGTGATCCGTAGTCATGAGACTGTGACGCGAGCGCAAGCCTGACTTATTTTTCTCGCTACATAGCTTGCTTTCCCGCTGTCTTTTTTAATCTAATTTCTGGTTTAATGAAATTATATATATATGTATATGATTATATATCTTATATATATATATATATATATATATATATATATATATATATATATATATATACACTTTATATAGTATTTTATTTGTAAGTTAGTTGCCAGTAGTTGCCACGCTTGGTAGGCGGATTGACAACCGCAGTTAGGTTTTAAAGATGTTTTAAGAGTGACGTTGCTCCTTATCCCTCGCCCTCCCTTAGTCACCTCTTACGACACCCAAGGCAAAGGAAAGGGAATATTCTATGCCATAATATTCTATAATATAGCTAATCGTGTTCTAAATAGAAAGTGTCGTAATGAGATATTAGTTCTTCATTCGCCCATTTGGCGGATATAATACTAATATCAATCCATTAATCTTTCTCTTAATTGTATTCTTCTAAAAATAGACTGCATGGTCATATAAATGTTATCGATCATTATGGTGCGTTACGAACATTAATCAATATTTAATAAGATCATTAAATTATCGATACAGTTATCTGTATCGAAAATTATCTTTAAGTTATATATTATATTATTGTTATTTTAGAGGGAGACTTTGTATAAAAGTCGTTTGTTCGTGGCCAATTCTGTCTCTTTCGTATATTTACAGTCAAGCATTTGTGTTTTTTTTAATGAGTGATAATGGTATGGTAACCCCGCCTGCGCTATCGGTGTACATTGGCGGGATACCAGTGAGGATGAAGAGGCAGGTCAGTTAGTCCATCGTGACGAGTTCAAAGACAAATTAGTCACGATAGTTTCCAGAGGGAACCGCGTGGAGGTCGACCTGATAGGGAATATTGATAGCAATGGAGACTAACCTCCCCATTGCTAATAATGGCTTCCCCCAAGAAGTTGTGTTTGCATGGCTGTTTCGGTGTGAAGGGTGGAATATGGCAGTGAATTAAAGGGTACAGAGGAATAACACCTAAGTCCTCAGGAATGGCAATGCATGAGAGTATCATGAGCGAAACAGTATATTCTATTATGTCAATGGTACTGCTCATGTCTATAGGTGACGGTTACCACATTCCATCAGGTGGGCTGTCAGCTTGTTTGCCATTCTAAGTTGTATAAAAAAAAGACTTGTATGTATTAATATTTATAACTTCATAAAAATAAAATCCGATCTGAGATGCTATTTTATTAAATACAATATAATAATTTTTTTGGTTTAACATAGATATAGAATATTCTTTGACTGTAAGAAATCCCTTTTATGGGATAAGTCCGCCATTGTACTCATTCTTTTCGTAAGAACTCCGTATTCTATATATATTTAAGACTTTATTGTATAATAAAATGCTACAAACAGACGAACTTTTTTTATACCACTGAGGTGGCAAACAAGCATACGGCCCAGTTGATGGTAAGTGGTTACCATAACCTATGAACGTCTACAATACTAGGGGTATTACGCGCGCGTTGCCGACCCTGTCTCCGAGGGAGGAAAGGGATTGTTAGTAATGGGGACTGAGAATCCCGTTGCTAGCAATATACCCAACCAGGTCGACATCCTCGTAGTTCCCCCTGGAAACTATCATGGTTAATTCCTGATGAATTCATCATGATGGGCTAACTGGCCTGTTTTCATTCTCATCAATCACCCTTCACTGGTGCTCCGCCAGCGTATCTCGTTAGCGCAGGCGGGGATACCATTCCATTTTCATCCATAAAAAAAGACCCTGCCTCCGACACTCTTTTCGGATTAACATATACGAGTACAATGTTATTCAAGTGTATAAAACCATGGGTTACATACAAGTAGTACAAGATATTGCAAAACTAATAAAATGATATTAAAATAGCATTAATAGCTTTATAATTATTCTGGTTATGGCTCAGTATATTTTATGGTGTAATGTACTACACAATAATGTAACGTCTTAACCATAATGTACTAGTAGGTACATTAGAAACACATATGATCGACGTTCTTTTTTTTTTTTTTTTTTTTATTATTAGGAAGGTAAACGAGCACACGTTCTACCTGATTGGAAGCGGAACACTTGCAACACGAGAGGAGTCTACAATATCCTCAAATAAGTTTCGTACTGTAAATTAAGTTACATTAATTTACGAGAACAGTTAATAGTGATCATTTTATAGTCATTTTTGTAAATGGAACGGTGTATAAAACTATTGTGATTTTTTCTAAAAACGTTATACAAAATTATAGGTGTTCCTATATCTTGATGAAATTATTGTCTTGAAACTAATTTTATGCAGCAAGTTTCGCTATGTTAATTTGGCTTTTTAATCGTGTGATCTAAATAGTGCTATATTGTAGTTCAGTGTTGCCATGATTGGACGTAGATAAGTACTATTACCCGTTATTAGGCTTTATTAACGCTGCCGTAGAAAGTACTGAGATATTGACTGATTGTAAACTAGTAGCCCTTTTACTAGACACTGTTTGATCCATTCTTTACTCTTCCTGAATTCTTACTTCCTCAACTATATTATTATATTAAAGAGTTTCTGTGTTCTATTAATGAAGCGGAATATTTTACACTAAGGAAAATGGATTGAAAAGCAAAAGATTTTGAATCTGTCGTATTATTACCGGGAATTTAGTGGATGATCACTCTTTTTACAATATTTATAATGGCGACATTGATGTAGTCAAGTGTAGCGGGATCCTTACACAAATGTTTATATTCATATGTACAGTCGTAGGTACAGTTGCTATGTAAAGTCTACTAGATGTGCGATTACGAGTTCTAAATTTAAATATATAAATTTAATGTGTCAATAAAATATTTATTCATTTTAAAAAAGGAATAATGCAAATACCAGCCAATATTATTTTAAAATTAGGATAAAGGATAGTACCGACATTCTCTTTCTATGTCACAAATCGAAGTCGCTGTTTTTTTGCGGAGTAACATACTCGTATATTTTCTTATTCTGTAGTACAGACATAAGAATAGTATAGTGTTGTTACGATTTTATTATCCCTAATTATAGATAAGTGAAGTTATTATAGAACGGAATCATGAGAATGCATTGTGAGATTCATATCAATTAATCGAAGTATTAGTGTTTTAAACTATTGAACTGTTGAGATGATGTTGACGGCGCGTCTGTACTGATGTCGGTCAGTGTCAGATCCTTGAATTATGGGCTTACGAAATTGTTCGTAATGGATACATGAGTATGGATCTTTTGCTCTATTTTATGGCCTACTAATTCTATTTGACCTTAAACTATTAGAAAGAGCGAAATGAACGCATTATTTGTACTTTTATATACACATGTAGGTATTCGTACAAGGCTGACGTAAAGTAATTCAATCACATATTAAAATAGATTATTCCCTCGCCCTGGTTTAAGATTTTACTTCGCAACATCAATGTGACAAAACAAACGTGGAACAATTTGGAATAATAAAAGGAATTATATGTATTTAATATGTAAAAAAATACAGGTGAATATTTGATGTCGTTAAAAAATAAAAATAGATAAATAGAATAGATACTCTTTATTGTTTCTTCCAAAACATTACAGTAGTAAACTTATTATAATTAGATAAAAACAATTACAAAAAATGTTGACACTGAGAAAACAATAGGAACAATAGGAACTTATCGCTAAAAGCGGTCTCTTCCAGGCAACCTTTGGATGGAGAAAATACTTCACTAGAAGTACTAATAATAAAAAGATTTTTTATTGCATGTAATAAACTAACATCAAAAATTACTGCAAATAAAACAAATCTCATTGCAATCGGATTACTATCTGTTACCCATCGTTTGTTTTACAGCTACAATAGTACTATAGTCAGACAAATATGTAAATTACATACATATTTAGAGAAATGCTTCAAAATTGTAGCACTGCTCGTTTTGCGTTAAGTGTTAAAAATGATATAAACAAATACCTCTCAATTACTTAGCTATCAAGCAACATTATCTATGTAGAAATTAAGTCATGCGTCATGCGGCTCGTTTCATTAGATCGTATCTCAAGTAGTAACTTTAGAAGGAAACAGTAGGCGCGCTGCCGTATATTTACTCGTATTTCCGCAAGTTCGAGCCGAGGAAACGGGCAATCTGTTACAAAACTGGATTCAGGACAAAGACCTATCGTCGGTCGTTCCCTCGCCTATCTGGACTTAAGGAAAGTTGCCCACGGTCGCTCATATAAATGCATGAACTTGATACACTCTCGCACTTTTCCGTGCACCGTTGAGTGGAGCACTTTTCCTTTCGCAACGCATTTTCCTATATAATGTAATTGTTTTTAATTGGCAACGAAGACAGTAATATATGCAGCATGGTGCAAATTGAACTTTTGGTGAGCCACCGTTATATTTACATAATCCAAACTTGAGAAGTCGACAGAAGATGGATGGCCTTCTTATACTGTTTTAAACATCAAAGTGATTTGTTATACGTCTAGTCAATTGGGAATTTGAAACTAGATATGCAAACATTGCATTAACGAGAGACTTGATTGATTAGCTTCCACGCCTGTTCGGTATTAACTGTGATGGATCGTTTAAACACTCGTTTGTTTCAGGTGGTCATCACTTTCGCTGTTCTCGTGTGTAGTAGCGAAGTCGAAGATGTGGAACAAAAGAAGCGAGGAGCCGGGAAAGGCACCAGCTTGAATTCCATCCCGACGGGCGCGCAGAAACCTGAATACACCTACAGCATTTACTCGCAGAGTTCTGGTACTTCAAACAACTCGCCGAGTTCCACATATCAGTCTCCTAATCCTTCATATCAGTCAAGTGTTCCAAACTCTTTTTATCCATCACAAAATGCACAATACTACAATTCAAATAGTTTATCCTCTGATACTTCGTATCAGCAACCACCGCAGATAAATCTGCCTCCAACTACTTCGTCCCAATTCGTTCCTTTGAACTTTATACCAAATCCTGGCTACCAAGCGAAATACCAGCTCGTGCCTTCAAAGGCATCTAACGGTAACATACAATTAGCTATTATACAACAACCCACCAGTTTTCCGTCACCTGCATATCTTCAGTATCCACAATCATTGTTATCACCTAATCCGAATCAAATTCATGGCCAACAAAATCCATTTGGATCAATATCTCCTCACGGTCTCAACGTAGCTGCAGGTTTCCAGCCCTTATCGCTAAATAGTCCGTACCTAGGGCAACAGTCCGCTATGCTATTGCTTTCCCAGCCTAATCCCTCTCTGTACAACAATCTTCTATACCCGAATCCAGTGCCAAGTTTCTACAATTATTACCCGTCGAATTCTCAAGCGAAATATAATGTTGCATATGGTGGTACGTCTCAGTCGCCGGAATATGATAAATTGCAAGGCCCTCTGACAAGTCAGAATCTTCCAAAGGACGATAGTGATGTGCATAGCACCGAATATATATCTAGTGATGTGAATAACTATAAAAGCGCGTACGCAACGAGTCGTGGGCCATATGCTAAATTAAAATGATTTTATCAATAGGTTGTAATCATTTTGATCGATTAGCTAGTTATGTTCAACACTTTATACGTGTGCACGTTGCCATCTGTTTTTTTTTCTTTTTAATTTTATTTATTATTCGAAGACTGGTTTTAATTTTGTTGTGTTAATAGATAATTGTTGTTATTTTATTGTTAAGTGAAGCATGTATAATATTATTATTGATACACGACTAATTCGAGTATGTTAACTTTCATTGTATTACATTGAAATTATCTTGTTAATCGTACGCGTATATGCGTACTTTGTTGTTAATATTTAATTATTTTTTTCTATTACAAAATATATTAGAAGAATTCTGAATAGAAGTGTTTTGATTTACAGTGATATTGATATGCGTACTAATAGTAACTATTCTATTTTTATATTAAATATGTAACATAGTAATCAAACCTTTTCCTTTCCCGTGGGTGTCGTAAGAGAGGACTAAGAGAGCTTAGAGGGCAAGGGACAGGCAGCAGTGCCGCCTTAAAACATAACTAAAGCCTAACAGTAGGGGGGGGGGGTTATTAATAATGGACACTAACCTCCACGTGGTCCCCCTTGGAAACCATCGTGCTGAATTCCAAGTGTATTTTATCACAATAGGCTAACTGACCTGTCTCTTCATCCTCACCTATCATCACTCACTGGTGCCCCGTCAGCGTATACCGATAGCGCAGGCGAGGTTACTATTCCATTGTCAGCCATTTAAAAAAAAAAGAAGCCTAACTGCGGTTGCCAAACCTCTTACCAAGCGTGGCAACTACTGGCATAACTCCTCTTATGGAGGTGGCCTATGTTGTTAAACATAACTGTTGAACGGACATTTAACAGTTGATGTAATAATAATAATAGTAATCAAAACATAAATTATATATAATATCTATCTGTACCTCTGTCCCATTCGTGTTTCAACCGTGAAGCAGTTGTGTTTGCATGGCTGTGTTTCGGTTTGAAGGGTGGGATATGGCGTGAATTTACAGGGCACAGAGGAATAACACCTGAGTCCTTAGGAATGGCACGCAGCATACTATGTTATGTCCATGTTACTGCTCATGTCTATAGGCAACGGTTACCACTTTCCATCAGGTGGGCCGTCAGCTCGTTTGCCATTCTAAGTTGTATAAAAAAAATCGGATCGGTATCGGATGGGTAGATCCGAAAGCAATTAGGTTTGTTTTCATTTATCTCATTTAGCTACTTATATACGATTACCATATAAATTAGTGAAGAAATAAAAGTAAAATGCGAATATTTTAAAAACAATATTTTTCGTATTAAATTAATCATTATAATCTTAGCAGCTTTATCTTAGTAGCTCTTATGACTCTATCAAGTGCCCTTTCATCACTATGATGGATGATCTGAACGTCATAGTGTCCAACAATTTTTTTTTTATTAAATAAAACATGTCCTTGGACGACCTCCATATTTGTTTTTTGTTTTGTTACTAGATTTTTTCCATTTGGAATGGTAAGAGTGGCCACTTGATGGATAATGATAGTTCTTGCTTATAAACATGAAATAATGATGATATTTGTGATATTCATACGTCCTAATGATTAAGAACTTTCTAAATAATAATAATAAAGTTTATTTCCTAAAACAAAATTAGCCTATGGTACAATATAGTTTTTTTTGTTGTTTTTCATTCTTTTATCTCTTTTACTGTGTATGCCTGTATTATGTGTATGTTTGTATTGTAATTTGTGTGCTGTAAGTAATGCAAATAAATTATCTATCTATGAACTCACACTTGGCAAAACCTGTCTTGTGATATATTACAAGAATTTCTATATATTTGTAATATGTTATATTAAATAATGAATTTACTACTGCAATTTTCAATTCAATTCATTTATTATTCTTCTAGAGGAAACAATGAAGAGTATCTGTCTATTGCCATTTATTAATGTATCAGATTTATCGGTATTATCATAACGACTCATTAACATTCAACTTTTGGGCATGGATCTCTTCTAATAAGGGGGAAATATTAACGTATTATTATCATGTCACCAGTCACCAGAGGGTGACTTTGTACAAAAGTCGATTGCTTGGGTACCTCTGTCCGATTCGTGTTTCAACCGTGAAGCAGTTGTGTGTGCATGGCTGTGTTTCGGTTTGAAGGGTGGGATATGGCGTGAATTTACTGGGTACAGAGGAATAACACCTGAGTCCTCAGGAATAGCAATGCATGGGGGTATCATGGGCGAAACAGTATACTCTGTTATGTCCGTGGTACTGCTCATGTCTATAGGCGACGGTTACCACTTTCTATTAGGTGGGCCGTCAGATTGTTTGCCATTCTAAGTTGTATAAAAAAAAATGCTGGCTAATCGGCTTGGCATTGAATTTCTTTTTATATTTATTGGCAGTATTTATAGTTATTAACTTCCAGCAGCAGTATTTCCGAACCGATACGACAACATAACCTTTAAGAAAAGAGCATATTCCTTTTTAAAAGGCCGGCAGCACACCTGAAATGCCGTAGGTGTTGTGGGTGACAATGGGTGGCGGTAGTCACTTACCATCAGGTGAGCCGCATACTCGTTTGGCCCCTGTGTTGTAAAAATAATAATAAAAAAAAGTGTATTGTATTTCCTTAATCAACTCTTATGACAATTTAATAACATTATTAAATCAAATAAACATATTTCTGTAACAAGACTATAAGATCATAGGGATTATTCTCTAGGTATATGTAACTATAGATAATGAACTGAGTAATAAATAACTGTTTCAATATAAACCGGCTTGTTTATTATATACTAAAGCTTTAAGTATCCAACTTTCCCTGCATTAGAACAGTTTCGAGTTAAACAATGATAATTCGAGTTTCGTGATTTATTTTGTACGTAGAAATTGAACGCAAGCGTTACAATGAAATTAGCGGATTGTTCTCTATAGACTCTATTGTTCAATGGTGTGGGCCCTTTGGTAACGCAGTGAGCAGTCTTTTGATTTATATACACATATATATATATATATATACGTCACGCCTGTCTCCCATTGGGGTAGGCAGAAACAATGGTACACCAAATGTGATTTATGTAACGATGAGATTGATAAGAATTTTAATGAATATCTATTGTTTACGGTTTACTAAGTGATATTAGCCGTGTGGTCCCGGCATAGAATGGACCACTCCTTCCTTTCCCGTGGGTATCGTAAGAGGCGACTAAGGGAACTTAATGGTGGGATCACTAGCAGTGTCCCTGCGAAACCTGAACATGAAACCTTGTTTGCCAACCCACATGCCAAGCATGGCAACTATTGGCAAAATCTCTCAAGGGGAGGTATTTATTCTGCAGTAGATTGTTAGTGCCTAATTTGATGAAATGACATTTGATCGTAAATTTTTATACAATTTAGAATGGCAAACAGACTAACGGCCCAACTGATGGAAAGTGATAATTGTTGCCTATAAACATGAATAGTATCATGGACATAACAGAATATACTGTGTCGCCTATACACTTCATCATTCAGGAATGGCTACCATTCCTGAGGACTAAGGTGTTATGTTGTATTTTTTACGGCAGAAATACGAATGAGATAGAGGCATTTGATTTAATCTCACTTTACGTACTTTAAGTACCTAAGTATTATAAATATTTGGGTGTTCAAAAAGTACTTTGTTGGTGTGACGGTTTATTTTCAATTATCGCTATGTGAGTTATGCCTCACTTGACGGTCGTGGGTTCGATGCCTACACGATACATTACATTTATATTAATGTACTATTATCCGTTAGTTCGTTTATCATTCCCAGTAACACCTAAAATGTGGAAAGTTCTTTATTAAAATCAAAGCGTCAAATATCATCCACATCAAAGTATCGGATTGAGTACGATCTACGACTTGGAATATTACTCATTATACCAATTTAGATCTTTAAAATACATAATATTATATTTACAAAAAAAAAAATGCAATCTTGACAGAATCACTACATATAATTATTAATGAAAAAAAAAAATAAAAATGTGCTCAGAGAATACTTACTGAAACTTTATGAAATGTGATAAAATATTTAATGCAACCGTAAATATACAAAAAAAAAAGAAAGAAAGTTATGTACAATAAAGATTTTTACAATTACAATTACAAAATAATATAATAGATTACATAATATTATTAAAGAAAAGGTTATGCTCACTTTTATACTTTATCCGAAATGTCAGTTTTTTTTGTACAATACTTATTTCCAGCAGTGGACGAATAATGGCTAAAATTAATGAATGAATGAATGTGTAAATTTTAGTATGTATGCACATCAATTATTACTAGTACTGTATTCGAGTATTCTGACACTTCCCTAACGTTGACTTGAAGAGAATATGTACATGTCCTGAACTAAAGAATAAATAAATAAACAAATAAAATGTTATATTAAAAAATTAAGATCTAGGAAATTGACGTATATCTTTTGAAGGAAACAATAAAGAGTATCTATCTATCTATCTATATTTGTAATTGATAAAAATTAATATTATTAGTATATACATATATATATATATATATATATATATATATATATATATAATTTAAAAAATATCTAAAATCGAGTATCAACAATCGATTAGTAAAAAACGGTTGTGGAAATATTGGACTCGATTGCGAATGTGGAGAAAAAATTAACAAATCAAATTATGCAAAAACTAGAGCATTAATTATATAATTATGCGATTATGTATCTATTTTGGTAGCCATTAAAACAAATCGAGAAGATATCTATCGATAGTCGATTATTAAAAAAGAAGTAGTGGAAATATCTGACACAATTTAATTGCAAACACAGAGTAAAAAAACAACATTATTTTACAAGCAAAAAATACATTATTTATTACATAAATCTCTATATGGTGTAAAAGAAAGTCGCTGTCTGTACCCATAGATTTTTAAACTATGTAATAGATTTTAATGTAGTTTTTATTAATGATAAGATCCGGGGAACCACGAACAAAAAAATCAAGAAAATCCCGAATGTCAAGACAATGTTGATTGTTTTTTTCGATGTTCGGGGGATTGTCCATATATATATATATATATATATATATATATATATATATATATATATATACATATTCACGTATACGTATATATACATATACCCATTTAAAGGCACACACATACACACACACACACACACAATTTAGTAACTATTGTTATGACGTACTATAGTGTAGTTTTTATTTTTATTTCCTTATAAATTTTATAATTACTCTAGCCACGACAAATTTATATCGCTAAGTCAGTGAAAATCTGAGGGCCCATCATGAAATGTTCTCCGAAATTTCGGAGCCAACCGAATCACAAATTTGAT